CTTTATGGTAAATAATGCAATTCCATGGAGTTCAAAGAATCAACTCATAGTCATACTCTCTACCTGCAAGTCCGAGTATGTTGCTACCACCTCTTGTGCTTGCCGTGCTATATTAGGAATATTGCTGAAGAAACTTCATTAGGAACAAGGCGATGCTACGAAGATCATGAATGGCGAAAAGTCGGCTCAAGCTTTAGCAAAGAATTCAATTTTTCATGATCAAATTAAAGGATATTGACAAAAGATATCATTTTATTTGGGAGTGCATTAGGAGAGGGAAATTGAGTTGAAATATGTGAAGTCTGTGGATCAAGTTGCTGACATTTTTATAAAGCCTTTGAAATATGATAGGTTTCATAGTTTCAGATTGAGTCTAGAAGGTTTCATAGTTTCAGATTGAGTCTAGAAAGGTTCAAGTTTACGAGGGTCTTGAATATAAACAAAGTTACTGACTGCGCATTTACATCAAATTTAAGGAGACATTTGATCTGATTATACCTTACCAAATAGGATGAACGAGGACTCATCGTAAAGCTCCGTCTGTCTAGTTTCTAATGATTCAAAGAATTTGGAATATGGAACTTTCTGGAGAAAGTTATTAACATTTAAGTGGAGAATATTCACTTTACCCAAAATTCTGCCTTAATGGACTTAGTTATTCATAGATGCATGTATCAGATCTCAAGAATCTTCTATCTTTAATGTTTTGAATCAAGATTCGTCTTTTAGTTGTATAAGTATCTATACGTCGCATCTAGTTTAGTCAAGTCATTCAAACCAAAGAAAAATCATCTTCGTGACTTCCTCTCCCCTCCTTTCTTGTTTGTTTGAGTTTGTGAGAGTGCCCATTACCTTCAAACATGATGTAAAACAATCAGAAGGCAGAAGGTAACGTTCTTGCTATTTTCCTTCTATGGTGGAAGCACAATTTCTAGGCAAAATAACTCCATAATGTGGCTCTACAGTAATCAGTGTATAACCACTTATAAACAAAGTTGTGAGGTTTAGATTAGCATACTGTCCTGGTGCTTGGTTCTCTTTGCTTCATATTTAATGATATTCTTGATAAGGTTAGCCTGTCAGGTAAGAGCCAGTGGTTCCTTGTGGGCAATCACATAAGCTTTTCCCACCTATGCCAATATTCGTTGCTTGTGATATGTGGAAAGAATTGTTAAGTGCAGCGACTACAAGTGAACTGTCTTTGGAGGCAATTTCAAACAGTTTCTTTTTTTGGTTAATGAAAAATTTTACTTCGTTTCCCATATTTGAAGTTTTATGTACATCAAGACTCAGGTAGATCGAGGGAACAAAATACATCACACATTACAAAAGATAATAAAAGAAGTTCTCACAATCTGTTCACCCGGTCTTTATATGCATCTTCTATCTGCTGTTCGCAATAATCGAAAGGAAAGTTTTAATCACTCTGATTAGCACCTCACAGCTTCTAGCCTTCTGCATAATAAACAGCAGCTGATATCAGCATCCTTTACAGTTTTTGCTTTAATCCATTTCCCTTCAAGTTCCTAGAATACCAGTTAATAAGCAATCCACAATTGCAAGTTTTCCAATCAAAACCAACCCAATCCATAAGAGCATTCCAAAGTTCCATAGAATATGTACATGAGAAGAAGAGATGTGCGTGGCTTTCATCATTGTTATGTGAGCAAAGAACACTTTAAGGTGAAGAAATTATTTTTATATGGCACAGCTGATCCCTAGTAAGTATCTTTGACTGTACGGGTAGCCATAAGATAAAAGAGTGTCTATGGATATTAAATAACCTCGAAACAGTTCTAACTTCTAAACAATGAAGGAGAGGTCAAAACAGGGGTATATGCAGAGTATAATATTGATAGAATAAGTTTTCCATTGATACTACAATCCTGAACACTAGAGACGAGAGAGTTGATACCTCCAAAATGATTTACAGAATGATCCCTCATCTTGAGCAATTGTTTCCACATCCATAAGTTGCCAACTTTTGCTTGAATGTTGCAGATTGAGCTAAGTTTTAAGTAGTTGTATCCATCTAATTGAAAGCAAGTCCTTTTTTAAATAAATTAACTAAAGTAATTTGACAGCAGATATGGCATTCCAAACTCTTGCTGAGAAATTTGAAACAGTTTCTATTCATCACCTTGTGGTGTTTGTGTCAAAGTACTGTCATAATTTGCATTTGTGATGCCATTACGATCTATTGTGCATTAGCATGGTATGCGCTACTATTTATAGCAATAACATAATTTTTTTTGTAGTGGGTATGGGGTTTAGCATGGTGTGGACTAACATTTAGAGCAATAACATGATCTTTTTGTAGAGTGGGTTTGGTAGAGATATAGATGCATGTTCTGCAATTTATATGAAAATAGTGATAATGACTTTTTAGTCTTTGTGAAAACCTAGGTCTTCTGAATCAAAAGAGGTAGATAATGGGGATGCAAGTTAGACTTTGACTGATGGAACAGAATTTCATAACCAGAGATAACATGGGAAGTTCACGCCTTGGTCATTCCGTCTCATCTTCATTAATTTTTTTGCTCTTATTGATTGTGAGGGGCGCCTTGGGGAGCTATTATTTTCATATAAATTAACTGTTCTTTGCCAAACAACGTTCTTTATAATTTGCAACTCTATGATATAACCAAAAAATGCCAAAAAAAAAAAAATCTACACAGGTTATGGTATAACTAACAATGCCAAACTCAATTATATGAAATCTATTTGAAACTCTTCTTCAATTATGGTATATCAGTCTTTTCCATCAAACCAACCCTCTCATTTCTCTATGGAAGTGCTGGGACACAAAAAAAAGAGAGAAGATTTGACATTAACAAGGAAATTAATGAATGAACTAACTATAGTGAATTAAATTTTAGTCTCTCACGAGTATAGGATTGGACAGAGACCTGTAACCAGTCACAACCAACATCTCTAAATATTTCTTGCTATTCTGGTCATCTTAGGTCTTCTCCCTTTTACCATTCTCTAGTGCTCAGTTCAGATTCTTTGCATCTCTGGACAACTAAAGCCATATACTATCACATATCCCTCCCCTAATATTGGGCTTTCCTTTTGCACCCCAAAAGGATGCACAAACTAGCCTCCATTCCTAGGTAAATTCCATGCTTCTCTGACAGTACAGCAGATACACTGAGTGCTACATCTCCCCTCTCTCTAGAAAAGCACGTCTCCCTTCTCTCTAGAAAGCACATTTTCCTTTTGCACCCCAAAGGGATGCACAAACTACTCTTCATTCCTAGTCAAATTCCATGCTTCTCTGACGGTAGAACAGATCCACTGAGTGATACATCTCCCCTCTCTCTAGAAAGCACATTTTCCTCTTGCGCACCATAGTGGACATAATCTTGTGCAGAGCTATTGAATAGCTTTGTAACAGAAGAAAGAAACAGGCAGAGAGAGAGAGAGAAAGAGAGTCATGAATGTATTTATGGAACTGTGATGGGTTTGCTTTTGCTGATGTCTTTCTATGTTTCACTTTGAATGCCAACAGTGAACGGAGCTAAATAAGAGTGACCCCACATTGTAGAAGAGACCAATGGTAGTTATGGATGGTTCTGAGATTCTGAGAGAAGAATTGCATTAAGTAACAGCTCCCAGGACTCTCTCTTGGAGAGGCCAAGTGGCATGCAAAATTGATAATAAGATTAACGTGGTGCATCTGTTTACAAATCTGTCAGCAATTTGCAATATCCTTTTCCCCCCTTTTAGGATATGGGTATATTCTAGCAAAAGACTTCTGCCGCTGATTATAGTGATAAACCCAATATAGTGGTATCTAGCTTTGGGTTGTGTTTTACCTGCTATGTACGGTTAAATCTCTGCATTTCTCCAATTGCAATTAACATCATATTCCACAATATAGTTTTTCACTTATATTGGATGATGTTCGGTTATTTTTTAATCTTCGGAAGCAATGATTTCCATTGATATATTTTCCTCAGCATATCAATACTTTAAACAAGACATTATTTTCTGTGACTTTGCCTAGTAGTCTGCATGTGTTCATGAATGAAAATATCATATAATTAGGAATCAGAAAGTGGCACCTGTTAAGTCTTTCATCCTGGACTCATATTTCTTCATATCCTATGTCTTGAGTACTGGTGTATTAATTATAATTGCTACCCTAAGTAATAGACTGACCAGTTGTATTGTGCATGGCTTCCCTTCAATGCATCTTGGTTAATCAGTCTCCTTCACACAAACATGCGCGTGCGCGCGCACACAATCTATCGGAAAGTATCCAATTATGATAGTTAATCGTCATATTCGATATTATAAGCCTTATTTTGATGAAATTTTGATTTATTGTCCACTTAGTCTTGGCAATTGTTTTGTTCTTGATCTTTTATCCGCCACATCTTGATGCAATATATCTATATATGCCATATACACAGGTTTGATCCCCAAAGTTATCACAAATATTTGGGTGTAGCTTTTGAGGTATTTGATTCCTTCTGGAGTCAGTAATTATTCGCTGATGCAAGCTCCTAAGTCTCTGTTGATGTATTTATGCTCGACTGAAAATCCCTTTATTATTCAAATCTCCTAATGAAAAATGAATTAAAAGACATGATGATTACGGATATATGCCTTTTTGGCAGGTAATGTGTGCTTTAGCCATTTTTCTCTTTATCATCTCTCTAGGTAGATACCACAGAAAGCTGACAACAATGAGGAAGTAGGCCTCCTTTGACCCATCTCGAGCATTTTTAACCTTGTTTTTTTTCTAGCTTGTGTACCAAACTTATCCTATTGTCAGGTTTGGCCCCCCCACCCCCTCTAAAACCTTAGATTTCTGCCGCTAGGAGTAAGAATATTCCCAGATTTCATCCTTAATTTCTCATGGCAAGTTCTCCCTCTGTCTTCCTTAATACATCATTCCTTCTATTACTTCTCTACTACTACGCAATTTGGTTCCATACATCTCATCCTCTTCGAAAACCCACAAATTCTAATGCCATTTATTTATCTAGTGATGCCAATGATGGCTGCAGCGGCCTCCATAAGCTTAAAAGCCATGAAGCAAAGTGCAGTTACCTGATTTCTAATTCACAATGCAGCCCTGAAGGATACATAGACTATCTTCACCTCTTCTACTGCATCTGTGGCGGATCTCCCGTCTTTGGTTACAGCATCCTGGTTCTCTGGCTCATACTGCTATTCTATTTATTGGGCAATACGACTGCTTGCTATTTTTGCTCGAATTTGGAGGCCTTATCGAAGCTCTTGAAGCTCTCACCTGCAATTGCTGGAGTAACCCTTCTTTCTCTAGGCAATGGAGCACCCGATGTCTTCTCAAGCATCGTCTCCTTCATGGGAGCGGAGTCTACAAACCTTGTAGGACTCAATTGTGTCTTAGGTGGGGCTTTCTTTGTTTCAAGTGTAGTAGTAGGAATTATTAGCATTTGCACCACTCTAAGGGAAATTACAATTGATAAGGCCTGCTTTATTCGGGATGCTTGCTTCCTTCTCTTTGTTCTTTTGATCCTACTAGCAATCTTAGTGTATGGGAAGATCAATCTGTGGAGTGCCATGGCCTTTTCTTCGCTATACTTAGTTTACGTCTTCCTTGTGTCTGTGACCCATATCTTCAGTAAAGAGGAAGAACCGATATCATATTTCGATTCCGACCCTATTTTACCAACCAAGGGAGAACTGTATGCCCCTCTCGTGAGTTACAAAGTTGAACAAAAACCGAACAAACTCTTCTGCTACTTCAGCAGAATTCTCTGCTTTCTGGAGCTTCCTCTGTACCTACCAAGGAGATTAACAATACCAGACATCAATGAAGAGAGATGGTCCAAGCCCTTTGCAGTCATCTCTGTAACTCTCTCTCCCATGCTTTTGGCAGCTCTTTGTGCCTCAAACAGGGAGGAATTAGGCTCTAAGCAGAGTTTGCTAGTCTCTCTCTCCGGTGTCATAATAGGAGTTACCTTTGGAGTTACTGCAATTGTGAAGACTGACAAAGAGAGGCCACCAACAAGGATTCAGTTCCCATGGCTTGCTGGTGGATTCTTGATGAGCGTCACTTGGACCTACATTCTAGCTGAGGAGTTGGTCTCTCTCTTGGTCTCGTTTGGAGTTATCTTAAGCATTAGCCCTTCGATTTTAGGACTCACCGTCTTAGCATGGGGTAACTCTTTGAGTGATCTCATAGCAAACGTTTCAGTTGCTGTTAATGGTGGCTCAAGTGGCGTCCAGGTTGCGATATCCGCGTGTTATGGTGGGCCCATCTTCAACACTTTGTCTGGCTTGGGAATCTCCTTTGTGCTCTTCTCTTGGGCTGGGTACCCTAGTCCTAGGGTTATTCCCAAGGATACTACGCTTTTTCAGACAATTGGGTTTCTCATCGCCGGCTTGCTTTGGGCTCTCGTGGTTCTTCCGAGGAGGGGGATGAAGCTTGATAGGGTTTTGGGTGCTGGACTCATTTGTGTCTACTTGTGTTTTTTGTCTGTGAGCATCGGACAGTCTCTTGGGTTGACCCAGCACCCTGGTTAGGCTTGCAAATCATGTTGTTAATTAGGTGTAAAGTGTAAATGTAAATTTGGGTGTTAAGAGTTATTTGCAGCCAGCAGAAATTGGGCAACGTAGTCTTGTGGGCTATATCATCATTCGGGGTTGGACACAATTTGGCTGGTCTTATTTGCCAACTAAGATTTCGGTTGGTACTGATCTCCGTGGCAGAACATATGAATCTTTGTATCTCACATGTGGCTTTATTTAGGATCACATAATTTCCCAACTTGTTGTGCAATGATTTGTGAAGGGGTGTGGGCCTAAGGGTCCCCTTGCATATATTCCCCATGCCAAATAGTGACATTATAGGTAGGACCGTGACGGGTCACACACGAGTCAATATGAAATGTGACCGCCTAAGATGAATCTCAGATGAGAATGGTTTCACGAATTATACCTGCCTTCGTCATAATTTGAGCCCTGACTAGGAAATGCCAATCTTGGTGCAATCCGATTGGTAGATAAAAACTCAGACATGAAGTTATCCAATACATGTCAAAATAATCATAATAATAATAACAATAATAATAAAGTAAATAAATAATAAAATAAATAAATAAAATTGGAGAGTGTGATTCAGTAATAAATGAGCCGTGAGCATTAAGAAATTTGATTCGACTGAAAAAAACAAACTTTTTAAAAATAAAACAATCGATATATAAGTAATAATTAAATAGAGTAAAAGCAATTAATCAATTCAAGTAATAGTTACGTAGAACAATCAGATTTGATCGAAAGATGTTACCTAACTATGAAATGATGGTTAGATTCTCTGAGCGGTTGTGCAGAGAGCATTCCCTTTCAGCAAGAACAAAACCTGTAAAAAAAAAATTGATTAAAAACAGTGAAAATACAAATTTGCCGCGCTTTGACGGGGACCAGCAACGTACAGATTTTGCCGCGCTTGATTGTCGGATTATCGAAAGGAGGGAGAAGAATGTGGTGCGCTGTCAGACGTGACCCTGATTATGATGGAGGTGATGAAAGGTCGTCATCAAGGACGCTACTTGTCGGGAAAAATTGGTTGAGACTCTCGAAGATGTTAAATCTCCGGAGAAAAGGTCGTCAGTCGAAATCTTGTGTTTTCAATCTCTTTCCACAACTTTTGTAAAGCAGAAATCAAAATCTTGTTGTTGAGGGGAGGCTTTACCGTGGCGCAGCTACATCGACGCTTTGAGGCTTCATATAATGAACGTACGGAGGATGATTTAGTGCCCGGGGAAGGCTTATCTGTATCAGCAATGACCGTTCTCGACGGAGACTGAAGATTAAAGGTTGTGGTTCTACTGCGTTAACTCTCTGGGAGAGAAACAAGTGTATCCTGTTTGATCTCTTTCTGATAGCTGGTCCTGTTACGCGTCACCTTGTCTCATAATTGGTTCCGTGAACGCTTATGCTTTTCGGCTTCAATTTCATGCAACTAAGGGTCCATTTGGTTGGTTTCCCATCTGTGGCAGCTTTCGAGCTCTTTCTCACCCAAAAACAGAGAACCAAACGGACCCTAAGCAAGAGTTAATTTTATATGCACTGCTTGTTTAGAATCATATTAGGCCCTAAGAAAAGCTTATTTGTTTAAGCAAAAAAAAAAAAAAAGACGATTATTCGCAATTGAAGACCATGTCTAAAGAGAGTGATTCTTTTCTGTCTTCAGCCAAATAATTCGATATGTCAAGCAATCATGCAACTCTCTAGAGATAAAACTATTGGAAATTCTGGTGTTAAATATCTTCCAAATCTTATCTAAGCAAATCCGGGAGAGGTTTTACTACTGAGCCACAGCAATGTTCATGACGATCACAGGCTGCAAATATTTCAGGTGTGACTAGTTTTTTTTTATGCTACCGATGGAGAATGACTTGCGCGGAGTGAGAGCTTATCAATATCAAGAAGAATGGCTTTTTGATATATATAAAAAAAGAATGACTGTTCGATTGAAAATGAAGTAAAAAAAAAAAAAACTGTGCGACTCATTTCATCTCCAGTCCACAAAATTCAATATCTCGACAATTCAAGTTTATCTTAAAAAAAGGAAAAAGGAAAAAGAAAAAAGAAGAAAGAAAAAAGAAAAAAGAAGAAAGAAAAAAGAAAAAAAAAAAACAACAGAAAGTTCACCTAGATATGTAGAGATAAAATGATAACTTTTCCATCCGACCCCTTCCAAAATTTTTCTAACCCAAAATCAACCAACAAATATTTCATGCATTGCAAGAGGTATTGCTATAGTGTGACCCGAAGGCCTTGACATTCTAAGGCTACAAATTTGAATAAAATTATTTTATTATTGTTGTTGTCGTCGTCATCGTTGATATTATTATTATTATTTCTTCCTTGATATGGATAAGGAATGCCAAGTGTCAAATAAATGCTTATTTGTATATATCAACAAAGAATAACCGTACATTCTCCTTTGACAATTGAAGTCTAGATTAATGCGAGTGTTGCGACTCATTTTCATAAACAGAGCAAACAATTTGACAGCATAAGTACCCATGTGATCTACAGTCACCTCGGACCACAAACCCTAATAATTATTGGCTTGGATACAGGCTTCCTCACTAAGGGACAACTCAATAGCGAGTTAGCAAGCAAGCAAAAGCCCTAGGAGATGCACAAATTGTCAAGGGGGGTCCTTTAGCAATGACAAATGCCTTGAAAGAGCCTAGACACTTACAGTCCTCTTCAATGTGTACGTGACATCAAATTTGACTCTAACCTAAGTGTTTAGTCTAACAAATGCGTGGAGATGCGCTATCAAAAGTTTTAATGGTTGCTTGAGAGGTTGAGGTCTTGGTTTAACGGGGCATAACGACAGTTTAGTTATAGATAAAAGACACAGATCATCTCTACCACTAGAAAGCAATGAATATAATATTGTTTTAGATCATAATGACCTGATTTAGATTTCTCCAATTAGATGATAATTGGAGAATATTCAATTCATTAAATCAGGTTTATGTAACGGCACATAGGATATCCATGGTTAGGATAGTGCTTTTGCAATAACATGATTGATTTTGTGAATTAATTTTATTTAGGATAAAATCAAATAATCCTAAAACCTAATTAAAAATCTAAAAAAATTTATATTCTAATTTCTCCAATTAGAGCAATCTTCTTCTAGTTAATAAGTTAGGCTAGGCATATGGTTTTGACTTTCCTATATACAATCTTCTATTAGTATAGGAAAACTGAGGAGAAAAAAAGGAGGGACCCGCTATTCTTGTAATCTAAGTCGACACACAATGTAAACTAGATTTAAGAACAGTGTGCAATAGGAGAGGGTTTTGCAGTCTTTGTCAATGCAAAAGATTGCAAGATTGAGAGATGTTTCACAGTCTTTGCACTGATAAAAAATTACAAGATTGAGAGAGGTTTCATGGGTCATTGTCCATACAAAAGATTGTAAAAAGAAAGCTTAGAGGGCTTTAAAGAGAATACGAGATGTTGATTATAATTGAGGTTGAGAGATTGAGTGACGAGAGTTGAGTGGTTTCTCTCATAGTTCTCCTGATACATAGTGGACTTCTCATATTGTGCCTGTAGATGTAGATTAAGTTTGTCAACCGAATCATGTTAGATTTTGATGCTCTTCTTCTTAATTGTGAGTGTTTTCTAT